GTAGATAGGTCTTAGTCATCAGGTCTACTCCACTTCCTTCGTTGCCTGCTTAGACTCTTGGCACTCTTAGGTGAGCAGACTTAGTCAGCCTGTGTTGCCCTAACAACTGTCAACCATGAGCTTGCCAATTGCTCAGAGGATGATCTCCCTCCTGCATACCATGGAACCTCACATCCACTCAATTCATCCTCTCTGCTGGATGCTCATCCAGCAAGTGATGACAAAGCAGTCCCCTTGTATTGCCATCATGAGGTGCTGCCTCCCTGCTACATGCCTCCTCACAAACAACTCAAGCTACCTCTGAACCTCTCACACTCATCTTCACCTATGCCATCCACATCCTCTTCCTTGCCTCCTTTGCCTCATCTGGTGGCCTTGGACAAGGCCACCCTCTGAGCAGTTGCCGAAGCACAGGCTGTCAGAGATGTCTCAGCTGAGTTAGAGAGGAGGTACCGGCTCATAGGAGCCCATCTAGTGCATGCATAACCTTATGTCCTTTTGCTCCATCTACACCTAATGTCTTGACTATTCCTCTTATCACATCATCTTCCCCTCTTTCCCACCCATTCCTTCCCTGTCCCAACTACAACATGCTATCCTACAGGGCAAGCTTATCACATTTGTTGATCACCTTTAACCCATTGCTACTTGGCCTTCAAGGCCCTAACAAACACTATGCATTCATTTGCAAAACCTGAGTGCATGCCTTTGCTAGACTAGCAAAGGCACTTCTGCCCCTGTGACTGACCTCTCCTGTAAGCTCAGCCCTACTGTGATGGTCAGCAACCTTTTTTCTACCACAACATCCTCTAGTATAGACTGCACTACAGCAGCCTTGTGTTGTGCATGACTATTGCATTGTGAATCAGGCAGGTGACGGCATTGGTCCCTTAGCATCCTACTTCGAGGCCATCCTTACTAATATGATCTAGCTCTCTATCTCACCTTGCACTGGGCTTTCTTGAACTCACTCATGTGACTACTGATTGATACTCCAGTGCATCAATCCCAGCCTGACAGGCCTCCAACTGGCAGCTGTGGGGAACTCACCAGTGTACCTGCCCCAAATGCTTCTCTGCAGCTTGCCCTCAAGGCAGAACCTGAACAAGATCAGGCTTTTGAGCTCATCTATGACATCTCACAACTCATGAATCAATGTGGAGTGGTTCAGGTCCAGGGCAGCAGGGGTCAGGTTTGGTACCAGCCTCTTAAGTGATGGACCCACAGCTTGCTGTGGTGGATGACCAACTAAGCCATCCTACAGAGGCACAACCTGAGATCAATCCCATGGATCATGAGCCTGTCTGGTCAACAATAGAGGATGGGTTTGACCCAGACCAAACGGCAGGCTTGGAGTCCTGGGACATTGCACCTGCATTACTGAACAATGCTGGTGCAGAGGTCACACAGGAATCTGCATTCCTGACGGATATCTGGGAGGATGTTGTCCTCCCAGAATTCCATCAGGCAGAAGCTCCCCATGACAACGCCATACATACCAACTTGAATGAAACAATCAAATGCAACCCAGTGGTGTCTGAGGAATCAGTGAGGCTTGCAGTGGATGACCTTAGTATTGCCCTACCTCCTCCTCCTCCCTCATACAACTTCAACCACCCATCATAGACACTGCTGCAGTGCTACATCAGCATGCATAGCAATGCTGTGGTCAGGGCAATATGTCTGATGATGGTGTATCTTCACATATGCTATCAGCTACCCCACTGTGCTTGCGCCTTCTTGGCAAGCTTCCTGTACTTGGTATTGGAGTACATGCACATCCTATCACCCCCCACCTCCTGTGCACCTGGATCAGGCCTGCCATGCACGCTGATGACCATGTATCAATGTATGGGTATATGGGACCACTTCAAAGTCAAAACCATCTGTCCCATGTGCTGGCTTTGTGACAGCTACCAAAGCCAGCCAGAAGATCCTGAAATGGTCAACAAGCTCACATATGAGAAGGACCTGTCCCAAGCAGACTGGCAGCACAGGTGCAAACACTGCCAGGTAGCCTTGTACAAACAAGCCCCCATTTCCCTCATCCCAACAGTGTGCAAAAAGGTGCCCTTCAATCTCCTCTCCTTACAGCTTGCTGACTTCCTAGGCCAACTGGGTTTTGAAGAAGCGTGTGAGTCATATCTCAACACACTGTCACAGTGTTAGGGCAACACAGGCTGACTAAGTCTGCTCACCTAAGAGTGCCAAGAGTCTAAGCAGGCAACAAGGAAGTGGAGTAGACCTGATGACTAAGACCTATCTACAGTATAGGTATCTGTGGATGATCCTAAGAGACC